GCCAAGCACAAGATTAAGCAACTTGTGATGATTGGAGGGGTCAGATCTGGATATGCGGAGGAGAGTGAAATCCCCATCATGACTGATCATTGAGGCAAGCCAACACTATTGTCAATGACCAGTCAGATCTACATAGCCAGTCCACAGTGGCCTGGGATCTATGTAATGCTGGATCATTGACATCACAACACCAACAGTGTGTTTTGCATTGGTGTTGTATGATGCATGATTGTTGATGCACAGAATGGTTGTGGAGGAAGCTAATAGAAGATCAAGGAATCCCAGGTATAAACACCATCTTGACATCCCTACATAATTTGCCACATGTCCCACCTCCAAAACTCAAGGGTCTCATCTCCTGTGATCAGTTTTAATACACGCACAGATGCCATGAGAAAGGGGCTTTCTTGAGCCCGTTTAACCATTGACAAAGGGAACAAGTCGCATGAAAATGGCTTGGGTAGACTGGCCATGTTTTGGATAAACAATCAGTAATCAAACACAGCACCAGGTATCTACTAGGTCCACAGACATCAGTCTGCAACAAAGAAGTTCAATTTGGTCCAATGCTTTGAGGAATTTGAAAGCTATATCTGTATAGACGTATCACAGGAACTTTGAAACAGTATAGAGATGTTTGCTTTCCAATAATAACCTCTTGGTTTCACACTTACATACGAAGTCTCAAGTGTGCATCAGTTGAAAGCATGGCCATCAGGTTTCATCTTGCAACTTAGGTCCCATGATCACGATCTTCAATTCCCACTACTGACGACAGGTTTTCGTTTCTGATATTATTTACTTTTTTTTTTACTTTCAGTAAGACATAACAGCCTTACAGTGGACGGCCCAGGTCAACAAAAACATTGAGATGGGTCTTTCGCCGCGAACAACATGGATTTTACACTTCCTAGGATTATTGGGCGGAACTACCAGCTTATTCACGGCTGACGATGTCTTCAGAAGCGATTTTTCTGCCTCGCACCTAGATGCCTTATGTTCACAAAGAGCACGTATGTCTTTCTTAACAATCTTGATCAACGTGAGGGGCGATTTTAGTGATACGGCATTTCGTTTTCCGCACAGACGCCACGAGATTCATGAGCAAGTACCATGATCCCCCGTCCCTTTCGACAATTGGTCAGAGTAAGTCAACTCAAGATTCAGTTCTTCTTCTTTTTGTAATGTACCCAAGTGCTAATCAAAAGCAAGCTTTAGAGATTACCGGGACGCGCTCTGAAATCTTTGGCTATAAGAGCGATTCCAACCATTTGACCACAGGAGGTCAGACTAATTTGCAGTCCTGTTAAAAATTAAAATCACTGAATGAATGCATCGACTGACATGACCTGACTGTTGCGTTTCCACACGTCCCAGATGTGTCCGGTAAGTCTTTAGGATACTCTTTGTTAGGCGTCAATTTGTGGCATATCGGTGAAAGCTGAAGCACATAACCTTTTGGCCCCATCAACACAGAGCTACGCAAGAAACTCAACAAGCAAATTTTAGATCCCATGTTGGATAGCTTCTCCGAGCAACTAGTCCATATAATCAACCTAAGAGCACAAACACAAGTCAGAGATCTATTGATGAAGATCGAAAAACATGTCACAACAACCTTAAGTCAGATTGACCCAGAAACTCCCCGTTCGTCCCGCATCCAGAACAGTTCTCAAACCTCAATGCCAAAGCTCTTTGGGTATTTCCAAGACGTCTACAAGTTATTAAAAGATGATCGGAATCTGTGGACCTACACGAGTCCCCCTCTACCTTCACGAACCCACGCGCTCAATTCGATTGTGTTCCGCCTCAACGATGTTTTGGTTGCATACCTTTCCGCAGCAGAAAAGTACAAACTAGTCGGCGATGATGTTCTGAAGAATTACTTGAACGAGGAAAACGAAGGGATGATTATATTCCATTGTATATGGGGAAAGTTCCCCCCAAAGAATGAGGATGTCACTGCGGTTTTTGTCAATTTCGATTTGAAACTCAGCCTTGCAAGAAGTCCCTTCGCTGAGGAACTCACCGGTCTTTTAAAACGTTTGTTGAAACAAGTCATTTCCTCATCTCCTGATACCATCCTACTTTTTTCTCCCCTCAATCAACTCTAACCTAATTACTCGGGTGGGGAACTCTCCCTTGTTTCTTTTGATACCAGATTTGACTCCGATTACTTGGGCGAAGATAACCCGCTCGTATATACTGCTCCAGCTGAGACACGCTGCTGCAACCCGGCTGTCTCCTCTCACAAATAGATTCTTCACAGTTACCAAATCTTTCAATCAATTGGATAGTGCTTCGGATTTGGTACAACAATTAACCGAGGAAATATCAAGATTGTCTGCTTTCAACCCGACAGCTTCCAGTCTAATAAACCTGAAGTTTGCACATAACATGTTACATTTCTTGATGCAGTACCATGTCATAGATGTTTCCGGTTCAAGCACGTCAGCATATAGAAATCTATGGAATCATCGCCAAATCCAAGATGTCGATCAAGCAATACTACAATTTTCCGATGTACTCAAGTCCATTTATTCCAAGTATGGCGAAGTGTTGCAAATCCAAGCTCGGCAATCGAACAGCCGACCCTCGACAGAAGAGAGCCAAATGATTTACTTAACAGACATAAATAACAGAAATCAAGTCTCATCATTTTCGACTGGGCCACAATATGACGATCAAGAGCTTTTCCACCATACCTCATCAGAGCCATCTGCCAAGCTTCGACAAAATCGTGCGGGAATACGCGACATAGTACAATCGTGGAGGATAAGAGAGGAATTCAATTCACACCCTCTACTTCACAGAGAGCTCCAAGTAAACGATGAATCAGAACCACCAGAGCTCATCCAATTCCTCGTACAGAAGAGTGGCGGGATCTTACAGAAGCTTGAAAACATCAGATTATCCAATCCGACCAACACACAAGATATGCTTCAATTGAAGACTTACCTTGAATCCATTCTGAAAGATCCAGTCCGAGCTTAATCAAGCTGTTTACTCAGGATAAAACTTTGATAATTTTTTTTTATTCAAGCAAGATTCCCATAGTGGCACGATGTGTTTTTTTTTTTAAAAAAAAAAAGAAAGTCAGATCTATTCTCGTGTGATAATGATTATCTGCTGTCTTGGATCAAATTGTCAATCTCTTGGGTCTCTTTCTATTTCACATTTTGTCTTATTTCTTGTGATAATTTACTGTGATGCAGAATTCAGTTTTAAAATGCCACACCACAGTGTTGAATTTTCATAAGATGTTTAAATTTCTACCACTCATGTGATCAGCTCAATATCTGTATGCAGGAGCAATTTTTTTTTGTTTCTACACTCAACAATGGGCGGCTATGCTTTTTTGCACCAAATCTTTGTAGTGTTAGCGCCTTTTAGTGGATTTTTGCCAAGCTATGCTGCGCTAAGGGCCGCTAACAGCGCTACAGGGCCACATTTCCACTAACCGGCGCATTAGCACAGCGTAGTGGACCCTTTTTGGGGGCCCACACGTGTAGTGTCATGTATCTCAGACGTGACAGAATTCCACCACACTTCACTCAAGTTTAGTGGAATTCTGCTAAGTTACGCCACACTAACAAGTTAGCCTAACTGGCCCACCCTTGCTACACTGCTTTACCAAAAATCAATCAGAGAATGTTTACATAGAAACCTTTGGCATGGGCTAACAAAGAGAAGCAAAAATCAATTATTTCGAACCAAAATAGGGAACACAATCTCTGAATTAATTAAGGAACTGGGTGGATTGTTGCAATTCCAGTGGATTTTTGTTGAAGTGTATTTTGGTGAAAATTTGATTATTGATGTTAAACAGTTTCCAAATTCATGAAATGGTATGTGGATCTCTCCTCACTTTAGAAATCTTCTTTCCAAGTGAAAAATTCGAAGTGAGTTGTGTACTCGAGGGTTGTGTCAGGTTGTGTCCTATGATGTTGCGGGTGCGTGTTGAGGCAGCGGCTCTGGAAATTGGTGAAGGCTAACTAACCGAGCCTCCCGTGGGGGCTTAAGTAGTGTCAAGTTAGGTCAGCGGTATGTTAAATGTCACGGCTGCCAAGATTGGTAATTTGGTACCCAGGATCGAACTTGAACTTGATCATCTACAAATCCTTCGGACTTGTGTGGATGCCACTTGGCCGAGCCGAATCGGATGTCTTCTACACACTTCCCAACTACTGGACTGGCGGAGGCAACTAAGGCGCTCGAGGAATTCAAACAGCGTGATGCTTCAAAAGGTATGTGAAAAATGATCAAATGCGGTTCCTATCTAGTGCTCCCCACTAGCGTTCCTTGCCATGCGCTAAGGGATTCATGTTTTCATTACTTTTCTAGTCGTCGTACGATTTAAAGCAACCGGTTCAGCGCCAATCATGAAACAGAATTTCTTTAAAATTACCTCTTCGAATCGGTTTCAAGCTGTCATCGCGTTTCTCAGGAAGGAGTTAGGATTAAAGCCGACAGACCCTGTGGTACGAATACACTCCCTCAGATTACACAACCAGCTACGTAACTCTCAAGAGGGTAGAAAATGACACATCTTGCAACGACGACTGATTGATTCCCTGGTTTTAATGCTTTATTGCTCATCGATTTCTTATTCCCGGCAGTTCCTGTATATCAACTCATCCTTCTCTCCAGCACCCGATGAAACGGTGGCCAATCTGTTCAAGTGTTTTTCTACTGATGGTCATCTCATTGTGAATTATAGGTTCGTTAATCCCAATTTCTTCAAGATCGACAATCAAATATCCAGGCTGTGTCCTCCCTTTCCACCTGACAATTCCACATACCAATACAAAATAAAATAAAAGATCAATTGCTGATTCTGAAGTGTATTTTGATTCACATGTCGCGGGCATTAGTTCGACAGCGGCCTGGGGATAGTATGACTTTGCCCGAAACCGATTCATGCTTTTGTTCTTTTAATAACCAAATGTACCAACATGGAATTTCACGTAGCAATGCCTTTAATCTTCTGTGATTCAAGCCTCATAGCCACCAGCGTCATACAAATACCCAACTGATCGATCGATCCGAACAAAGAGTATCCAAAAAGCAAACAATCGCATTCAAGTTGGTAAGGCATTGAAAATACACCCCTCCTGGGCTGCTTGACGAACAAGCCAAAAATCCTGAGGAAGCTAACTGTACTGTTATAGAATTCACCCAGTGTTTTATGGAGATTGCTGGTACCTTATGTATGTTTCTATCCCTAAATTTCCCTTGAATGTAGATATTTGAGGCAAAAATCGATCGAACACAAGAAAAACTCAAAGATCATATTTGTATTGCAAGATAACTTTTAGAGCCGGATCAATAAACACTTCAAACCAATGAAAATACCCAAATAGTTCAAAATCAGCAGGCCTAGTCGTTGTCAGCCCAAAGTGAATGGAAGCAATTTGAGTGTTGACTGTTAAAAGGCAAGGTTTGGTGGTGCTCACATTTGGAGATGAGTAGGGATAGCTAGCAAGTGACTTGTTAAGTTTGGTTATGACTTATGTATCATTTTGGATATATGAAGTCCTGGGTGCCACTGCCACCAAAAATGATAGCAGTGTCAATCAGCAGATTTCATAAGGACTCATTCAAGGAAATGAGTGGAAAAGAAGTGCTTCCTATGATGATATCTTCCTGTATTCTTGAGTCATGAATACTTGAGGTTATAATAACAGGAAATGATACCCAAAAAAAATTGAAAAGGGTTGTCAGAACAGTTTGAACTGAATCCATGTTGGGCAATGGGATTATACAGTTTGGTATTGCTTTACTCGTATCTGCAAGGATAGCATCAGCAAATGGGGCTCAAGTCACAACGTCAACAGCAGGAATGATTTATATGTTCAGACCCACAATGTAAGCCTTTTCCCCTACAATTTTTTTGCTTCATTCTCATCTTTTGTTTGCTTCTACCAAATTGGGCTGCTACATGGGAGTTGTGAGATACATGAAAAATTAAGGGTCAAGACTTGGAAGGTTCAACTTCTGATTGATGCAGACAGTCAATTAAGCTTTTTTCTTCAAGTCTTTCCATGCCTTGTACATATCCAACTCCGCCCCAGTGGTTAAGCACACAGGAGCTATATTCTTTTTATGTGCTGGTCGATGCCCCACAGGAAATTCCAGTTGGGTTGACGGGTCATACAATTGGGTATGGGTTATGGAGATAAGAGTGATTGAGCTTGCGCTGGTATGGCTTAATCGACTGGAGTCTCTGTTGACCATCGACCCACTCGGCAAGCTTCCACTGGGCCTCCAGAGCTCTCCAACAAGCAAACCCCATCCGAATCTTGTAGGTCTCCTCTACTCGAGTAGTCTCTGAACTGTTTCTTTCTTCGTGTCGGCTAACCTGCTTGCATTGAATCGCTCCCATCCCTTCGTTTAACATCCCTCTGCAAACCGCTCTCTAATATCTTTTTCTTTGCCAGCCGCAAACAGATACCAACCCATCTGAATCATGGCCCCAGCAGCAGCAGCTCCACCATTGAAGCCAGGAGAGAAAAGAGGCGTCAATTGGTCCAATGTCGTGGGTATTGCTTCGAATCTGACTACAATCCAAGGCTCGAGTTTCAAGGGGGTAATTGAACTTATATCATGTATCATTCTTTACAGGCCGTCGGAGGTATCATGAACATGTTCGAGGTGAGGATTTTATCAGTCGTTCACTTAGCCGGGGTACTCTTCAGCCGAAAATTCCGACCCAAAAACATGACGTCATCTCACCTCAAATCGATCATTACTAATCCTGCAATGCGGCTTTCTTTATTGAAAAGGTTACCACGTTGGGACAGCCTCTTGAGGTCGGTACACCCAACTCATCAACTATTACAATCTACGTTTTTATTTTTATTTTTATGAACGTTTACTGCCGAAAGCTAACTGTGACAATGTTTTTTTTTTTTTTCATCTGGTTTCAGGTCATCAAAACTCAAATGGCCTCTAACCGATCCCAATCGATGGGTAATGCACTCAAGACAGTCTGGTCACGAGGCGGCCCATTAGGGTAGGTATACGATGGTCAGGGGCTTATATCCCATGGGTACCACATTCCATGAGTACTTGTCAAAATAGTGATCATCGATTCGTCTTGAAACATAGGTTTTACCAGGGGCTGATCCCGTGGGCTTGGATCGAGGCTTCGACCAAGGGAGCCGTCCTGTTATTTACTGCAGCTGAGATCGAGACCGTCGCAGTATCAAATGGCATCAGTCCTGCCATGGCGGGATTACTCGGCGGAATGGGAGGCGGAATTTCTCAGGCTTATGCTACCATGGGTATGTCTTTCAAGTCCTCTACCAGGAATTCTTTTTGCATATGATCGATTAGCCAAGCCTGATTTTTATTTGATTCCTAGGCTTCTGTACGTGCATGAAAACAGCTGAAATTACTCGTCATAAACAGGCATCAGCGGGTATCAAGCCTCCGTAAGCTGAAATGTATTGTCTTGATCCAGAAACATTTCCCATCGCTCGCTCAATCTTTTCCGTTCCAACTTGTTGACAGGTCCACCATGGCACTCTTCTTGGAGATGTACAAGAAGGATGGGATAAAAGGAATCAACAAGGGAGTGAATGCAGTCGCTGTTCGACAATGCACCAACTGGGGTTCTCGAATGGGATTTGCCCGGCTAGCGGAGGAACAGATTCGAGTCTTACGCGGCAAGACTGACGGTCAACGATTGAGTGCCCTCGATAAGATTTTGAGTAGCTCGGTCGGTGGCGCCCTTGCTTGTTGGAACCAGCCCATCGAAGTCGTCCGAGTCGAGATGCAGTCGATGGCTAAACAAGCCCCTGGTGGCACTCGACCCGCTAAGCTCACCGTCTTTAACACCTTAGCATACGTCTACAGGTTCGTTGTCTACCTGAGCTCTAGCCATGTTTTTTTCGCTGCATTAAGATCTCGAAGCACTCACTGATCCTTTTGCGGAACTTCTTTCGCTCGGGGTTGGTGTAGAGAGAACGGGTTGATAGGACTGTATCGCGGCGTGACTCCTCGGATCTGTCTAGGGATCTGGCAAACTATCTGCATGGTTTCGTTCGCTGATGTTCGTATATCCTCTCTATGTATATTCTCTATGCTGAGATTTGATCTCAAGGCTGATAATTTAATGATCTCGATCACTTGATCTTTTTTCATGTGAACAGTATGTCAAAGAATGGTGTGTGCAAAAGTCCCCCCTTTTTCCTGCGCCCTGAGCTTTTCCTTAAATCAACGTCAAAGTGGCTAAATGGTTTGTGCTTCTGCTCTGGGTTCATTTATCTTTGTTTTTTACAGGGTCAAAGCCTCAAAAGAGAAAATTTGATTAACAAAATGAATAACAAAACGACAACAAGATGAGAACCACGCTTCCACAGAGTAAACTTATGCTTGACCAAAAAAAATCACATAAAGAAAAGGAAAAGAGGAAACGATGAATACCTACTTCCTGAGTCCTAGTCCAAAGAAAATAGACCAGGAAAGATACTTGAACTATTCTTGTGAAATCCTTACCGAGGTCTTTTATCATATTCTTTTTTATTGCATTTTACCCTTCTAATACAAGTCCAAGTAAACATTTTTTTTCTCGATCTACATTTCAAACACCATTTATTACACCACCAATTCCTTTATTATTATTTTTTGAAGATTTCTTTTTGCTTTCTCCTTTGCCTTCATTTTTTTCTCAGTTAGTTATTTATCCTTGACATTATTTTTTCACAAGTGTAGGTTTGATTTGAAATAAATCAAATCAACAAAAAGGCGTGAACTCTTGGGTACTTCCTGGTCAAATATTCATCACCCAAGATGATATTTTTCGTGGTCTAGTAACTGCATCACTGCGTGGGTATCCTACCTTCTTGAGCCGCTAAAAAGCTCGATGTATGCCTGAGCCTTTTGAAAAGAAGTGGCAAAAGCTGTTGATGATGTCTTGGCAGGGGATGTTCAAATCCCATGCCCCCTTTGCCTGTCTGTCATTATGACATGGTCACCGGCCAGTTTGGGCAAGCAGCCATTGAGCGATGTGATGTCGACTGAACAGAACAACTTTGTGCAGCTTCAGTATGTGGGCTCGTGAGGGTTCTCTGCTCTCAATTACCTTAGGGTACTCGATATATAGTCAAATTCGCTGGATCCAGGTACCGCCACCATAGCCGTAACAGCAAGTAGGCACGTCGTAGGATCCCAGCTTTCCTGCAGCCCAATAAAATACCCTTGTTCGAATCTTGCTTCGCTCACTCTCAAAAGCCGGTCACATCATGAATCGTCTTGCATTGAGCACAATCGTCGTAGCGGCGGCGCTCGTCTCAGTTTCAGTCGGCATGTACACCACTGACCAGAAGGCCATTGCGGGACACGACGCGGAGTCAGTAGGCTCAATGTGCGAATATGATGACGATGACGACATGAGCGTTTTCGGCACCAATCACGACGCGAGTGGACGGTGTCAAGGCTGCCGTAATGTCGACGGCGCGTGCGGCATTTACTGCCCTGGCCTCAATCGATGATACATACAGTGCGCATCACCTCTTCTCAACTACCCCCAGGAGGGTGTTCCAAATTTTTCAAAATGGGAGTTGAATTTTTTTGATTTTTTTTCACTTTTTTTCAATGCCATTTTGTTTTTTTTCTTTGAATTTTTTTTTTTTGAGATTTTTGTCCATACAAATCAGCAGACAAGACACAATCAGAACAAAGCCATGTACAAAAACCAAAACACTTGCAACAGCCAAAGCTCCAGCCGATTGAAATCATTGATGAGATCTAATTGTTGCATTCCAAGGGCTGCAATGATGGATGTTTCAATTATGACTGCAAGTTAGCCGGACAACTGGCACTGAGTTTTCCTATTTTTTTCTCCTTCTTCCCTCAATATCATGTATTTAGATGGTCTATGTGCATAATACATACCATGTAAATACATATTGCATACCCACTAGGCCATAGTATGGCCTTTTTACATGGGTGTTCCAAATTTTGAATTTGAAAATTTCAAACTTTTTTGTCTTGCATGCTACAGAATCTTCCTTTATATTTTTGAATTCCACTACTTCTGTAGAGCTCAAATATGCATTGTTTACACATGTAGCATGGTTGGTGTGAACAAACATACAGATCAAAGTTCAAAATTTTTTTTGCAGGTGCGGGGTAGTCGAGAAGAGGTGATGCGCACTGTATACAAAAACATAAGCAAAAGTGATTCAGACTCCAGAGTATCATACCAAAATAAAAACAAAACCCTAAAAAAACACCAAAAAAAAATCAAAATCAAAATCAAAGAAAAAAAAGGGCCTTAATAAAAAAACGCGGTTTTTCCGCGTTTTGACGCGGTTTTGATGCGCCGCAGCACACGCGGTTTCCGCTTTTAGATGCGGTTTCGTAATTAATTTTTTATGGGTTATTTTTTGACTTTTTTTGAATTTTTAAAGTTGTTTCCTACACTATAAAAGGCGTAGAATTTAATGGTAAAAACCATTTTTCATAAAAATGAATTTTGATTATTAATTATTTTTTTCACTCATTTCTCAATTAATTGTTTGCATACATGTATGTACCTTATTTTTTATGCTTTTGTGAAATTTAAATTTATTTCCTAGGTTTTAATGTGCGTAGAATTTAATGGCGCAATCCAATTTTTTCAAAACTTAACGGTTCACTTTTAATACTCAAATTACACCCATTTTTCTACTTAAATTTTTAGAGTTTAATTTCCATTCTTTTTTGACATTTTAAATTTATTTCCCACACTTTAAGACATGTAGAAAATGATGGTAACAACCATTTTTCCCCAAAATGAAAACTATACCTTGAATGCCGCATTTGACACGTTTTTTTTAATTAATTCATCACTTTTTCACTTAATTGTTTGCATACATGTGTGTACCTTATTTTTTATGCTTTTTTGAAGTTTTAAAGTTTTTTCATACATTTAAAAGTGTGTAGAATTTAATGGTAACATCCAATTTTCTTAAAACTCAACAGTTCATTTTTAATACTGAAACTAGACACTTTTTTCAATTAATTCTTTACATGTTATTTCTCACTATTTTTTGACATTTTAAGTTTATTTCCCACACTTTAATACATGATAAAAATGATGGTAACAACCATTTTACATAAAAATCAGCGCTTGTTACTGAATACTGCAGTGGACAGGCTTTTTTTAATGTTTTTTTGATTGATTTTTACCGGCCTGATTTTAAGCATTTTTTGGAATTTTAAATCTATTTCCTACATTTACAAATGTTTAGAATTGAATGGTGAAGTCCAATTTCACTCAAAATACAAGCTTCAATCTTAATAGATGAGCGTACACCGTTTCTTGCATAATTTGTACTGCATACAAATTTTATTTGAATGCAAAATGGATACAGCCAACAATTTGAAAACCTTTCAAAGTGTAGGAAATGAACTTGAAAGTACATAAAATAAGGATAATTAAGCGTGTGAGAATTAATTAAAGAAACATGTCATAGGCATTATTCAAGGTACAGTTTTTATTTTGATGAAAATTGATTGATACCATAATTCTATACATGTCTGAAAGTGTAGGAAACACATTTAAAATGTCAAAAAATAATGAAAATTAAGCTCTTAAAAATCAATTGAAAAATATGACTAATTACAGTATCCAGAATGAACCGTTTGGGAATTGAATGTTACCATTAAATTTTACACACTTTTAAATGTAGGAAACAACTTTAAAATTTCAAAAAAGCATAGAAAATAAGGTACACACATGTATGCAAACAATTAGGTGAAAAAGTGAGGAATTAATTAAAAAAACGTGTCAAATGCAGCATTCAAGGTATAGTTTTCAACTTGGGGAAAAATGGTTGATACCATAATTTTCTACATGTCTTAAAGTGTAGGAAATAAGTTTAAAATGTCAAAAAATGATGAAAATTAAGCTGTAAAAAATAAAGTGAAAAAATGGGTGTAATTTGAGTATTAAAAGTGAACCGTTGAGTTTTAAAAAAATTGGACTGCGCCATTAAATTCTACGCATATTAAAACCTAGGAAATAAATTTAAAATTTTAAAAAAACATAAAAAATAAGGTACATACATGTATGCAAACAATTAATTGAGAAATGAGTGAAAAAAATAATCAATAATCAAAATTCATTTTTATGAAAAATGGTTTTTACCATTAAATTCTACGCCTTCTATAGTGTAGGAAACAACTTTAAAAATTCAAAAAAATTCAAAAAATAACCCATAAAAAATTAATTACAAAACCGCGTCTAAAAGCGGAAACCGCGTGTGCTGCGGCGCATGAAAACCGCGTCAAAACGCGGAAAAACCGCGTTTTTTTATTAAGTCCCAAAAAAAAAATGAACAAAATGAACAAAAAAAAAGAACAAAAAAATTAAGTATTAAAGCAAGGAATGCCAAACATAAAAACATACAGATAACAAAAAAAAACTTCCATACCACACTCCTATCACATCAACCAATTGTGCAACAACTCCTGCTGCCGCTGGGCCTAATTTGGGCAATCCCCCTTTTTGGACCATGAAGCAGGTTGCAGTTGCAATTCTGATCAGATCCCTCTGAAATTGGGACATGATCACATTGTTTTTCCTGTTCTGATTTATTTACTCAATTAGTTGATCAGACCTGCACAGAATCATAAATATTTAAATTGTGAATGCATATATTTTTTTCTTCTCTGGCAAAATTCAACTTCAATCAATTCTGTCAACAAGTTTTTGATCCATTCATAATTTCAACATCTATGAAATTATGCAACTCAACTTTGGATGCCACTATATTTCATTATAAAGCTCTCTCTCCTGCAAAAAGGGGAAAAACTTCAAGATGAATCATCACTTGTATTATTCACACTGAAAACACGTAATATGCATCAAAAAATGGTGCACAAAATGTAGAACCAGAAGAAAGATTGCCCTTAACAGGTGATAATGCTTTTTTGGGGGCATCCTACAGAACTACATATTTGCTTGTTCTGTGTTTGATGTAGCATCATGTGATGCACATTACATACTTGTAGTGTGAATAACACATGTGATAATTCAGCTTGAATTTCATCCTTTTTTGATTGCGTGAGAGCAGTACTGCCAGTAGTCAACAATTCATGTGGGGCACTGCACATCCATCTTGACCAATTTTGCCTTTCATGCATATATATGTTTAAGATGGCTGTTTACATGAGATTTTCTTGTCACCAGACATAGTTATAAATTCTGATCCTTTTTTTGTGATTTCGGGCCCTCAGAGTCATCTCTTGTGACTGTACTGTAGTATAGGGCATTTTTCTCTCACAGGTCAAATTAGAAATAGGTGCCACCACTTATTGGGCAGTTATATTGTGTTGGATTTTGGTGAGGTATTGTGAAGCAATGGTAGGAGCATAAGCAAAGTGTGACATGAACATCTGGTTTTGAAAGCATGAAAAGTGCGTTTGTTGAGCAAATGCATAAGATCCAGAGTATGTATAGTGAAACAGCCAGAAAGCCTGAATGGGTTGACTTGTTTATCCCCCTTGAACTGGGTTTCAGGTGAAATTGAAGCAAGTTTAAGTTATTTGATGTAACCCAGCTTAAGTGGAATTTATTGAAATTCAATGAAGTGAATTATGCTTCCAAAAATTGGCTATATTTCAGGAATTTCACTTGTTGAAATATTGAGCTGATATGTAGTCAAAGCAAAAAGGGCAAGAAGAAAAAGTTTTTACTGGAATGGAGCTTAGTTGCAGGAAAAGAAGGAGTAGAACCAGTGGCTTGTTTTCCTTGGACTAGGCTAAGTTTTAAGTAAACTAAATACAATGGGAAAAGCTTGTGGTTTTGATAATGAATAGAAAAATTGGAATAATTAGATGTAAAAGCATAATTAACAGGTCTGAAACATCATACAGCCATTCCCAAAAAGCTTGCAGTTTGGGAGCGGCTGTATTTCCAAAGATTTTCTTTTTGCGCCTTGGTTTTTTAGCACCCCGCTCCCCTGTACATGACCCTGTATGACCACAGTACTTCAGGCAAAAGGACCCAACTCCCACATTTTTTGAGTTGAGTGTGTGGGAGTTGGAGCATCGTAATCCTCACAAGTTTTTGCCCTGGAGCCAGTCATGACATGGAGGCCCAGCCTAGAGATGTCAGCAGGTACCTGTTTTCCAACGTGTGTACCCGGAAACGGGTGGGGGTGGGGGTGCGGGTGTCAACATTTGCGGTAAAAACGAGTGGGGGTGTCAACATTTGCCGTAAAAAAAAGGCAGGTACCCGGGTACCCGCCTTACACCCGCCCTGGGAATGCTTGCCCTGAAGAATTTAATTTATCATTGGTGGTCCAACACTCCCTTCTTTGGGTGTTTTGGGCTGCACAAAGGTGTCAGCAACCCATGTAGAACACCAGCTGGTTTCCTACATGTGTTGCTCAACTAATCTGGTTGCTTTGTTGAGGCCGGAGGGTTCCCTCTGGCCTTTGAGATGGTGCACAGTCTTGATGACTGGAGGAATTCCTCCAGTCATAAAGTTAGTGTACAGTCCTCATCAATGGAAATTGAATAAGGTAAATGAGGCCAAGCA